ATGGAGGTCCACATTAAAAGCCTCTCTTGGTTTGCTTAAAGAGGCCTAAAAAAGAAAACCCATAACTCAAAAGTCCAACCATTTGAATTTCTACATGGGCTTTACATACATGTGTATCTATGCATAACACATTTTGGCCCACTAATAGGAAAAACTTACAATATATATATATATATGTGCATACATGAAAAGAAGTATATATGCTATATAGAAAGTGAATTAAATTTTATTTTAGACATAAAAGAGAGAAAATAAAATGAAAAAACATAAACACCATTAAAAAGAGAAAAAGATTCCATGCCTTATCTTTAGATTATGAACTCATCATGATCTTTTTTTTTTTTCTCAATGCTCTGTTCCTGTCTATCAAGTCATGTCATCTTACGTAATGAATCCCCATAAATATATATATATATATATATAATATAATTATATAAGAAAAAATCCAGATTATTCCAGAATCTGAAACTCTGCTTCTTCCATCAAAGCCATGAAAGTAAGGTAGGCCCACCTAAATATCCAAAAGTCAGCAAACCAAAAACAAAATCAACGGCATACAAACGAAAGAGAATTTACACAAAATCAATGGCATCTAAACTTTGTGGGACCCGACAAACATATATATATATATATATTTGTTTGTTAATACATCAGTTAAGAAGTGAAAAACAGAAATAATTTATATTATGCGAATAAATTAAATAATTTTTTTATTAAATTAAATATTGTAAATCAATTTAATTAGTAAATATTTAAATAAAATAATTACGGCAAACGATTAAAAAAATAAATAAAAAAAAGTCATTTTCTTGAAAAAGGGCAAACAAATAAGCGAGAGTTTGTGCAGACTTCACTTGGACCCTCTCGAGGTGGGGGCCATCTCCCCAAATATGTGGGACCCGCACCCTTAACAAGGGGCACCATTCCATCACCTTCCGCTAAAAAGCAAAATGGGGTTGTGGTTGTGGCCTTCTCCTGGCTATCGGGCCCCACACACTTCTCGTACATTTTTGTATTCGTTTCTTCTCCACACTCTTCCATTTTCAACAAGTGTAAAAATATATTTTTTACATCTCATGTATTATTATGCAGGGTAGGGTTGAATCTGTGCATTTATGGAGTTTAATATTGTAAAAACTAACTGTTTCTATCTACGGACTAATTGGGTTTTTTAGAATTTTGTAGCAAAAATAATTTACTGTTACCGTAAAATTTTGACAATGAGGAAGGAGGAAGCCCAACAAAACCAGTCACGAATGAACTCGTCCTCGGGGCAGAGTCGACTCAGCCCAAGAAAAAATGTTTTATAATCATATAAACCAATACTAATTTAATTCATGGTTGGTTTAAACCACCGAAGCCGGTCTATACTTGGTTTAACCGCCCCAATCATGTCTTCGATTCGTTTAACCATCGAATCCGGTCTGGCTCCAGACGGCGTCTCTCACCCTCCTCATGTCTCGCCCCTTGAGGGTCCGACCTACTCCCTCGAAAACCGACGCCCCACCATTTTTCCGATTCCTCGCGTACGCACGCGCCAGGTACTCGTGCGGCGGCACCATCTCCGACTCGCGATCGTCCAGCCCGTCGTCGGAGTCGTGCATCGACTCCACCGAGTCGACGCGCAGGATCTTGCTCCAGTCCGGAACGTTAACCGGCGCGGACGTCGCCATGTGGCGAGGCGAGGCCGCTCCGCCTCCTCGTTCGTTCCCGCGCAACTGGTGCACGATCCGAGGCGACGCCGTTTTGACTCCTCCGGCGGAATCCTCAAACGCGTGGGACAATCCGCCAGCGCGGCGCTCGTCCCGAGGCGCGATCCTCCGGCGACCCCATCCCGATCCCTCCATCGACCCGCCGTTGCTCTCGACGGCGCGTGAGTCCCACTCGCCGCAAGAGTTAGCGGGAATCTGCTCGTTCCGGTCGGCGATGTCGTCGACCATTGACCAGATGTCCTCCTCGCGGAGCTCGGATACATCAGTGCCGGTTCCACCTTGGCCGTGACCGATACTGTAGCTCCCGATAAACCGCTCGCTCCGGCTCGCGGTCAGTTTCCTGCCCTTCGCCATACAAGCATTTATGTTTTACGTTTCCGAATTTCAAAAACCGGAACCGGAATCGGAATCTTCCCGGGGAGAAATAAAAAAATATGTGACTGGCGAAGAACTGAGCAGCAATGCTATGAAGAAGCCATTGTTGCGAGTCTTGGCATAGCCCTTGCTGTGGGTGCAATGAGTGTGTATATATAGCGTCTGCGGCGTGCAGAGTGAAAAACAAAATAAAAAATAAAGACGGACGATTGGAGAGAAAATTCATTTCATGTGAATTTCAGTTTCATTTTGTCTGCATTTCGCCGAGTGACGCGAATCGGGTGGGTGGTGAGAATAGGAAGACGACAAGGTGAAGCACGAAACGGTTAAAAAGCAGAGGGGGGAACAAAACACATTAACCAGTTAAAATGGCTGGTCTCACGCGCCGTTCCATCTCGAGTGGCTACTCTCTTACATTACAAGTCTTTAACTATATAATACCAAATAACATGCATTTTATTAATTATTAAGAAATTTTCTTAAACATTAATGATATTAAATTATTTAAAGTTTATTTAAAAATCCACGTCATCATTCAGTTTAGTTTTAAGTTTCAGAAAGGTAGGACCCACGCTAAACCCCATCTTGTTTGACTTACGTAGGATACATCCAAACCGGGTCCCATGTCCACGTGGGTGTGCACAGATTATAGCTCTCACCCCTCTGTTTGCCCAACACGTATAAGCTTCAAACACCAACGTGGGTCCCAGAAACCTGTCTCTGTCATACGCCACGTGGCATAGCAGTGACCAGTTAAAGAACTGGCGATTGCGACAACGGAATTAAAAATTAACCGGCCCATAATTGATGGTTTAAGTTGATAATTAGTGCTTTATTTTATTATTATTCTAAATTAATGGCAGATTAATTTAATTAGAGTAGTTTGAATAATATTAAAATCTATTTATTTATTAAATTATTAGCCATGAAAATAATTTTTAAGGCAAATCAAAATTAAAAATTATGATTAAATACATAAAAATAAATTATTTTTAAAAAACATCAACCATTAAATAAATGAATTGCATTGATCTTAGTATTTAATTTAAGTTATAGTCATGATTTTATATTTTTTATTTATATTAAACAAATCCATTTTTCAATTTTATTAGAAACTTAATAATTGATGGAGTATAAATTTCTTTGTGTAATTTTTTGGCTCATCTACCCTTTTAAAATATTTAAATTAACTCCATATTTTTTAAAAAATTATTTAAATTTTTAATAAGATTATTAGTAAAAATGTTACATAAATTTATATTTAATATATTTTTATTGAGTTATTATTTATGTTAAATATTACGTGTATATGTCTAATGATATAATATTTGATGTGAATTTTTTAAAAAATTTTACAACATAAAAATTAATTTGATAAAAAAAAAAAATAAAGCCGATATTTAACTCTAAATTTTTAAATATTGGTATAAAAATCTATTTCAAACTTCGGATTTCTATCTTCGATCTCCCTCCATATACTATAAAGGAAACATAGATTCTATGTGTATGATTTGAATGACGTAAGAAAAATTTGTGACGTGTTTGATTTAAATTTATATTGTATTTTTAATATAAGTTAATATAATTAAATTGAAATATAAATTATTTAAAAATATAGAATTAAATATTATAAAATATAAATTAA